CACTGTATTGACCTGGACCAGCTCTAACTTGTGACCTCATGTACCTGCAGCTGTGCTTTGGTGCTTTAAAAAAGGCAGTAGTCCCAAACTGCTTATTTTAATGTTATTGATTATTCTAGTAAATTACTTTGTTGCCAGTTGGGGATCAATTGATAATTGATACCATACAAGATTAGTTGTCAGTCAAATAATTCATTCATTTGTTTAACTATGGTTTTATCTTGTCCCAGTTAAGAGACTTTGGGGAGAGCCATCTCCCCAAATATCACACAATAGATAACAGCAAAAACCAATATAAAGTCAGTTCTCTCTTTTGTCAAGGAACAAAGAACTGTTTCTTCTTTGGGGTTTAATGCTATGCTTTTCCCATTAGGCACCACCTGTCATGGCCTATCCTGCTACAACACCAACAGGAATAATGGGATATGGAATGGTCAGTAAACATTTGTATTTTGAGTGGATTAATTTGTAGACCCCCCCCCCAAAATATATTCTGTGTGCTTGCCCACGTGTTTATGGGAGAAGACGTGTTTATAGGAGAAGAAGAAGAAGATGCCACATACCCAGTGGGCAAAAGGAATCTGTTTCAATTCTGTTTTTTCCTGGTTTGTGATCTCAGTTTGCTAGGAAAATCGTTCATGGTAAACTGCTTTGAGCATGTTATGGTGGAAAAGTGGGAGAAAAATTGTAACCATAAAGTAATAATAGAATCTTTTGCTTCCACTCTTCTGATACCTTCCAGATGTATTCCAAAATTTGTACAAATGTACTGTTAAAATTAGAGTTAACTTAAAACAGATGGGTAATGTAAGAAACATTACCCTTGCATTTAAAATCAGGCTCAACTATTACAACTGAAATCTGAAATGGAAGAAATGCTTTCTGAATAAGAGGATCATAAATGATGCTAGAACAGACATGGTGAAAGAAAGTTGTATGTATACTGTGGACTGGAGGTAATTTTTTTTCCTTCTGACTATTTGGAACGCTAGCCGTTCCTGAAAGGACAGAGAGGTTATTTAGGGAAAGGTCTCTCTGGCGAAAATGTCAGCCTGATGTTTCCAGTGACTTCCTTCTGGTGGCTCTGATGGCTAACCCATTCTGATATTTCATAAATAATTTGCTGCTTTGTTAATGGAAGATGATCGTTGAAAGCATACTCTAATGGGGAACATTTCATCACTGTAATTTATTTAATTACTTTCATGACATTAATTCTGTACTTTTCTGGATTTTTAGTCATCCCAAATGGGAGGAGTACCAGTAATGACGCAACCAACTTTAATATACAGCCAACCTGTCATGAGACCTCCAAATCCTTTTGGTCCTATATCAGGAGCCCAGGTGGGTTTTGGTCTGCACTCTAAAGTCCTTAAGGTACAAGCTGTTAAGAAGAATGGAGTGAGTTGAATTATTTTTCATGGCTTGATTGTTAGTGGCAAACAGACTTATCTGATTCAGGTGTTAAACTGGTTTCGTGAGGAAACTTTCATTTTGAGCCAGATGGAATAGTCCAGACAGGTCTCAAGACCACTTGTAAAACACCAGAAGACCCCAAATGTCCTGAGATGAGAGGAGTTGAAAAGAGCCCTTGCTGAAGCAAGTTTTGACATGGCAGTCAAATTATTGGGGACGTTATAGTGAACCTGGTATAAGAAGGACAGAATAACTGCACAAATAGAGACCAAGTCGTTTCACAAGTCATAAAGAAAAATAGCATTTCTCTTATGTCAGAGAAATTGAAACTGAGGAGGTATCAGCAGAGTTACTAAGGTGAATAAAGAATGTATTTTTCAGAGGGATGTGTTAGAAGGAGAGCTCTAAAGAAATGTGTTGCACTGTCCAGATGAAATATAAGGTTTGTACTTGTATTACCTGGTTTGGATGTTTACAGCGTGCTCCCACCATGCTGATATCCTTGCTCACTTTGGGCTTTTATATTTGTAACAAATGCAAGGAAATGTTCCATTTTTGTTCCTCCCTTACACGAGATCATGAAATTTTACCCTTAAGCACATTCTTAAATCAAGATGGTACTGAATTCTGTGGTGTCTCTGTATTCACAAACCTGTTTTCCTAAGCATTCAGAAAGCATCTGGAAGGTGCTGAAACCTGAAAATAATTTTGGAAGATCAAGACCCTGATGCACATTGGGAGGGCACGTGTGTATTTGGATCCTCAGAAGGAAGCAGATACTGTAAAGCTTTACAGCATCAAACCAAAGCCAAATTATCCTAGCTTATCCAAAAAAAAGACTGAGGCCGGCAGTGTTTGCATAGCTAGGACATCTTTGAAGAGTTCAGTCATGAGCTGTTCCTTCCCCAGTATTCCTAAATGGCATGGCAGCAGAAGAATTTGTAACATGTGCCCTTTCTGAATGCCTTGATTGATCCTGGCTGTGTACTTAGAATGGGGAAATAAACTTCCTCTAGAAACCACTGTTGTTGTTAGAAGCACACCCTTAATGGAAGCATTCTCTGGGCTTGCCCTTGAATTAAACAGTTTGTCATTCCTCATTGCTCTTGGCTTTGCTTTACTGATGTCAGATTTATTAGAGTTTCTTGGTAAGAGAACAAAGGCTTGTTGTGGAGGCCTATTTGCTGGCAGGGTTTCACCTCTACTTGGCCTGCCTTAGAGTTTTGAAGGAGTTGCTCCTTTTCGGTCACCTGTTGGTGTTGGCAAGTCTTTTGTTAGTTAAGCTGCATGTGCGGGAGAACTTTCTATGTTACGTGAACTAAATATATTAACCAGAGTAACTGGAGTGAATGAGTCTTGACTTTCACCATTTGCCAGGAATCTGAAAAGACCATTCATGGCATGTCCCTATCTCTTTCTTCATTAAACATCCACACAGTTTACTCATTCTGTTCTCTTCCATATTCACCTGCTTCTTTCCAGACACACAATACTGTTCCTATCCGGTGCAGTCCTGAGTTTTGGCATTTCAGGGAGCTTGCAGGAGACTGTAAATATGACTGGTTTTAGTAACTGCTACTGTCAGAGCTTCACCCAGGGCACAACAGAAAATCTCTCTAGAAACTCAACCATCACTCAGGTCCTAACAGCAGAAAAGTCAAAACTCAAGATAGATGCTTTAATCCAAATATAAGAAGCTCTTATAACAAAGAAGGTCAGATACTGCGAAATTGGGCACTCAGACCCTCTATTTAAAACATCCCCAGGGTTTAACTCTTATGACTCTTCTTCTGCCCCAGCATGTTCTTCTGCCCGAAACTTCTTGCCGCTCATTTCCCGGTGTTGCACGTGGACAACACCTGCATTGTGTTTTGATAAAGGTCTTGTCTGGTCTCAGTCCCTTTGCTTCCAAGCCTTCCCAACATCAGCTCTCACAGCTAGAGCCATTTGTGGATTACTGATTGCTTCCTAACTGCTAAAGGGTTCACCATTTCCTTCAGGTTAAGGAAAGTTACATTAGGAGGAAGATGAACACAATATGAACAGTATTGGAAGATTTTTCTTGTAGCAAGTATTAGAATCTCTGGGTATTGCGTTTACCTGGAACTTCTAGTTCCTTGGTACCTCGAGTCTCTCTCTAAACTAGGACGTCTCTCTTGCTGTCTTTTCCAAGTGAAGGATAGGTGAAATTACTTCTGTGCAGTGGTTATTCCATGTGACAAATTCTTCCTCTTTGGAAAAGGGAAGGAACCAATTATGTAAATAGCAGGGAAGGTAACTCTGGCTCTGTTTTGCTTTGCAGCCATTCCAGGTGGAAGTAGGTATACGTCACATGTGTTTTATGGTGTTTTAACTGTTAGCTGCCCAGAGTCATGAATTTGAGGAGGACAGCCATATAAATTGAAATAAATAAATAAACAAATAAACAAAATACACCAAGCCTGTGAAGGTCTTCGGAGTAGTTGTATTGTCAACCTTCAGGAGAATGCAGCTGCCATGCAGATGATGCAAGACCTTCTGAAGGATTTGCATAAAGAGTCTTTAAACTTTATTTTCAATTTCTTTTAAACTTAGTGGTTTCTGACTATGAGTTCTGTTTACAAAGAAAGTTGTAAATTCGGTTTGCACTTAAGTTATAGTTGCAGCCTATTATTTTATCCTCTTCTTTGATTGTTGAGATTTTGTTGATAGAGTGACTTTGCTTGAACTTAGGTTTTAGGTAGTTTGGAGCCACTGGATCTAAACTAGAATCTGAATCATCTCTTATAACAGGGATGGGCAGCTTTTCAGCTTTCTGCACCTCAAGGTTGCGTCAACTGTGCACAACACGTTGAGAGCTGCACTAAAAAAGTGAAGAAGGTCAGGGCCCATTTGGGTGGAACATTCAGGAGTTCTCAAAAACTTCTGAAAAACTAAACAGGTTCCTTGAGCACCTTCAGGGGTTAAAACAATTTTGCCCCTTAAACTCCTTGAAAAATGCAAAGAGTATCCCCAGTGTTCCAGCCATAAAAGGAGCATTGTTTGCACCTCTGCTTTGTAACCACTTCTCATACTTAGGAACTTCCTCCCCATCTGTTCCCATTCAGATTTAGCAGATTGACCCTTCTTTGTAGGTCCTAGCAATGTCAGATACGTTGAGTCAGAACTTGATAGGCAATCTGATAGAATTGTCCTGCTGGATTCCTTTCTGATCTTATAACCATACTTCCTGGCACTCCTTGCATGGTTTCCTTCTAGTTTCTATTCTAGGTTAATTTATTACATCATATCTGCACATTTATTTAAGTTACAGTCCTATGTTACGGAAAGCAACATATTTCCTGTGTTACATAAATCCACGCTACAAAAAAATTATGACCACCATACCCACCACACTGAAATATTTTATATTCTGCTTTCTGTTTCCTGCAGAAAATAACTTTAAAAAAAAATTATGGGGGAACACAGTTTTGCTTCTCTCTGAGAATTGCATCACACATTGGAAAATCTTCTCTTTACCTGTATGTTCCTCATTTTTTTATTCCAACTTTCCTGCAGGCCATTCCTGCCACATAGATTGCTGCGTACTTGGTTTCTCAGCTGTGATTGCATGTTTAGCAAAAGAACACAGCTAGAACTCACTCAAATCCACAAGACCACAACATTATTGACTGTGGCTTTCTAGAGAAAGTATGGGACATCTTATTTCAGTGGTCTCTCTAGCTATCGGTCTATTCGTGGACACGGTTCAAAATGTTGGTGAGGAGGTACAAAGCCACATACAGTTGGGGACCAGCTTCTTTCTCTGTCACACCACTGTGGGAGGCACCTTTCATAAGAACACAAGAGGGCCTTGGTGATTGCTTGTAGGTCCTGAATTCCTGTTAAAGAAGAAAAAAAAAAAGATTAGCTCTTCCGCAGCAGGCAAACATTTTTTATTAGGGCTTTGGGATGTTTGCAGATGATATTGAATTTAATCATAATAGCTGCTCAGTCTCTATTGTTTTAGCTACCTTGTGCACTTTTTAGTAAAAAGGTGAGTCATGTAATAATACCAGCTTTAAGGTAACTGCTGGTATGTGACAAATAGACTGGCCTGTAGGAAGTGCACAAGGAAGTTGTGTCAATTACTGAACTCCAAGCAAGTGATTTTGGATAATATAAGCTTGTTTATTCATTTATCAAATTTCTAAGGCTGCCCAACTCCATAAAGACTTTGGGTAGTGTAGAATATTAAAAACAGTCAAAAACATTATAACCAAGAGAAAAGAGCAATAACCCTCCAAACAGTGACCAAACCATTATCTTCAACACTACATTTTTCCCAAATGGGTCTGCCGCGTTCCCTAGCATAGGGTGTAGGGGAAGAGCCAGGTTTTCATGGCTGGCTTAAACCAGGTTGGAGTACATTGATGTGCATTCATTTCCTTTGAGCAGTTTCCTCATCTGAGAGAGATGACTAGATGAAAGAAACTTCATGCAGGCATTAACGCTACCAAAGACAAAGGAACAGATGCATTTATTTAACTTTCCTGGTGAACTGATTATTCTGTGCTGGAACCAGAACATTGAAGAAATTAAAGTCCTATGGGGACAGCAGTGTTGAGCTTGGATCAGAGTGTTATTTTAGGCATTTGTGAAAAGGTCCTGTGGAATTTGACCAAGTGCTTTTAATAGTAGAATTCTGTTCTACCTTTCCACATTCAGTGTTACTGAACTATTATGTATGCGTGTGACTACAACATTCAGTTTAAAGAAATGCCAATATGGGGCTGCTGTTTGGAAAACAGTTACATGAGTATGAGGAATTAGGCTTTCAGTGTCTTGGACCTACTTGTAAATTAATGCCATATTCTAAAGATTACTAGTCTATTTTTAGCAGAAGGCAAATTCTGTCATGTCAGTTAACGTGGAACAGACAGCCACTTTCACATTCAATGTTAATAGGAATATATGTTGACAGTATGGTTTTGAACAGAATTTAAGCACAAGGGGAGCTGTCTTAAAAAGACCCCAGAACAGTAACAGGGAGGAAAAATCCCCTCCCCTCCCCCTAAATTGTGCAGCCAATCTGGGAACATGTTAATTTGAGAAATACAGAGGGGCCTTAGTCTCCAGTCGTGTTGTCTGTGGTAGACTAACAATGGAACTGTGTCAGATGGAACATATCTGAATAAGCATGTAGGCTTAGGCATATAGAAGTGCCAGATCTGGAAACAAGGCTTTTAATTTTGATTTAATTGCCTTAAGGTTCAGAAACTGCAGTAAAACAAATTGGATTGCTTATCTATTAGCCCAGTATTGTCTACTCTTGGGTAAAAGCCTGTGGCCCCTGGGCTATATGTGGCCTTTGACCTCCCCTTTTGTGGCTTTTCAACTCTTTTTGACAAAGATTATTCATAACTGATGAAAACTGTAGTGTAATCCCTAAAATAAGCATATCACTGTGCTCTTTCCCAAGTGAGTAATGTAGCTCTACCCTGCTTGCAGCTTTTGGTCCCTGAAAAAACCCTGAGTGTATCTTTTGGCAATGAAAATGTTGTCCACCCCAGTCCATTCTGCCTGGCAGCAGATCTCTAGGGCAGATCTGTTCTTTTTAACATGACTTGCCAAATGCCGAACCTGGAAACTAAATGAAAAGGAGGCTGTGCTGTGATTCTTGCTCCATTTTTTTTAATCTACATCTTCCTTTCAGAATTGGTACCTACCCCTTTTTCTCTCTCTCCCCTCCCTGTACAAAAGCACATGTAGGCCAGCCAAATAGTTTAAGCTGTGGTGAAAGGTGGGAAGTGATTGTAAATGTGTGTTGCTGATACACTGTCTCTGCCCATAATTTAAATAGAGAAAGTTACCCATCGGGTGTGAAGAATTCTCAATATGCAGCCGAAAAAGCAGAGCTGGAGTAGTTAAAAGAAATTGTCACAGACAGTCATTTTGATGAGACAAAACCAAAGTAAGGAATGTTTCATTTTGAACTCCATTGCATTCTTAATGTCCACCTCGGGTGGATTTGCTCTGGAGCACAACTGATACCAATCCGTAGCCAGATTTGTATCAGCCCCTCTTATCGCTGGTTCAAATACCTGCTGCAGATTGTCCCTTCATGTCTAGGTAGTGGTGTGAGGTCTGAATGTCAGAGGCTGTTTTGAAATGTTAACATCATATTAGGCAGCTGCTGAAAGACAGAAAGTGGATCTCTCATCTTGGCTTTATTGAGATAATTAGCCAGACCACTAACTGGCTGAGATGCCAAACATTTCTGCTAGTCATATCTAAGTATTCCCTGTTTCTAGGGGAGTCTTTATTTTGGCACCTACCATACCATTGGAGCAGAGTTGAATTTTACATGTTGTCATGATTTTTTTTTCCTTTTAGCCAGTTCACTTCAGCTGTGACTACCTTTCTCCTAACTACCTTCTCCATCATTACATTTTCTGCCTTCCTAGTTCCGTCATTGAGGCCTTCTTTTTCTCTCTCCCTTTCTGCCATCTTTTCTCCCAGCTGTCTGCCGCCTCCAGCCCATCCACTCAGAGTCCACACAGAGCTTCAGGAAAGGACCCCTTTGCAGAGGTCTCCCTCCAGGATTTCTTGTAGGACAATTTAGGTATTGCATGTTAACTTTGGGGGGCATTGGCCACTTGGATACTGCCTCATAGGAGCAAACCCTTTGTCGTAACAGAGGGCCCCTTCTTACCAATATTCACAGTCACATTAAAATATTGATCACAACGGGTAGGTCTCTTCAAAACTGCATGTTTGGATTATGTGATCTGATGCAGACCAACAAACTCTCCTGATTGTGTGAAAGGAAGCTTCCAGCATTTATCGTGGCCAGTAACATTCTGAAAACAAATTAATGTTAGTTGAAAAAGATAAATATACAGGTTTGTATGTTGGATGTGGAGGGACATCTTAATCACATCAGCTGGTAATTTGAGAGCCCCTTTTGCTATTTTCCCCTTGTGTAATAAATGAGTCCCATATCCCAGAGATCAGAATCTCTCTAGTCTGTTCTGTTGAGTATATTGAGTACATAACAAGTAGACCTATGTAGAGATTGTAAATGGCTGAACTCATTCTAGTTTATTGACACAGTCATTCTGCAAGTACTAATCTTTTTCCAGCTGTATTGTGTTCCCAGAAGAACAGTTTGTTTGTTGTTCTATCACCTTTTTTGATTCATTTGTTTTGCATTAGGTTTTAGGTTTAAAAGCCCTCCCTTGTAGTCTTTGAAAGAAAATTACTTGAGTTTATTTTAGACATCCAGAGTTTGTTTTTTAGTTGCCATAATGCCGTTTCCTTTACAGTTGACTCTGTGGTCCTCTCTAGTACAATGATGAGTTCACCCGGTGTGCCTCCGATTCTATTTCTCCATTCTCTGCATCTCCCAGAGTTGCCACCTGTAGTTTTAATTCCTTATTGGGCTAAAGGATGGCATCAATAAAACAGTTGTCATGGCTACACCACGCCCTCCATGTCTGTTGAATGGAAATAAATTGTACATTTGTGTGATGTAAGAAAGTTCTTTCCAGTAATTTATCCTTCATTGTAGAGTGATGTTGACTACATTAGAGATACTTTGGAGGCTTCCTTTAGATTTTAAACATATGGATAGCAAAAGGATGTGATAGAGGGAATTGAGATGGAGTTGTATGGAAAGAGGTAATATTGATTTCATTTTATTTCCTCAGATCCAGTTTATGTAATCATGCCAGATGGAGTGAGAACAGTTCCAGAAAGACATGTGCTTGGTGACCAACCCTTCTTTGCAGCTCAGTCAAAACGGATGTGTCTCCAGCTCTCCAGTAGAACAGACTAAATCATGCAAAGCCCACAACAGTGGTGGGAATCTCCACCAACATAAGGAAGTCTCAGCACCCTGCCACGTGGTATAAAGCCAAGAATTGCCACAAATTTGGTGTGGGATCTTTTTTCTATTTTTCCCCCTCTTGTGGTAACTTAACATGGTAGTAACTCCCACCCCCTATTTTATAACTTTGATTGGTAACCCACAAAAGAAACCACCTATTCCGCTGTGAAGGGTAAACAGTGTCCTTGGAACTGCTCTTTTGGAATGAAGAGCTGGACATCTTTTTCTCCTTAACTCCAGTGATTTTTCTCTAGAGGATCAAATCCTAATTGTTTAATTCTACAGCTTCCTCTCTTCATTCATCACAAATGTTAGACTCCATAATGAAAAGTTTAACTTAAAAAGAAAAAAAAAAGAATTATATATTCCGTTTGCATAGACATTCCTTTATGTATTATTGTTTGTATTTATTTATGATTATCAGTTTAAATAACAATGTATCACAAAGCCTCCTCTGTGGAGAAATGAATGCGGATGTATACTATTGGTCTCCCGTTCGAATTTGTTCTCTTTTATTTTTATCCAAAAGAACAATTCTAGAAATTCTCAATACGCACTCCACCATGCAGAACATTGGGTACATCCAAGGTCTGAAAAATGCCCATTGTTGAACACCCCCAGGAATTAGAGAGATCAACATACGAAGCTGCCAGTTCTGCTAAAGATTTTGTGAAGGGGGGAAACAGCTGACTGGTGGGAGCACAGTATTTTTCGACCCGGCGTCGGTGCTTCAGAAAGCTTTCCCTTGCTTTGTGCTTGGCATGCCATTTATCTTACACTTGACATACAGCCTTTCCCAAATGAATGTGAGGAATTGCTTTCACTTTCAAAGACTTTCCTTCTCTGTATAAAAGAAAAAGCAACTATGGACAATTCTGGTGTATTATTGGGGGGGGGGGAGCCTTGACTTCTTTTGCATTTGAATCATGTACCATGAAATAAAATAAAAATCTCAGAAGGGAAGTAGCATCTTTGCTATGGGCAACCCACCATGAAGTTCTCCAGTGGAAGCTCCGTTGAACATGGGTTTGTTCAGGACTACTTTCTGGTGCCCTGGGTTCTCAGCATGTAGGAATCCTTTTTGTTTTCTGATGAATTCGAAACAGCACTGTGGATCGGTGCTTTGTGTAAATACATCCTATCAGTTTAGGTGGCATTTGGGGCCTTAAGAAGGATAGTCTAGGGCATGAAAGCAATTCTGTACATGAATTAAGCATATTTGCTGCATTGTCTCTGCAGATTCTATTTTTGTTTAAAATGTTAAAATGTATGTTAGCAAAAAAGGTGGATTTTCAAATAAAATGCAGCTTCCACAAATGTTGAGTTGTGGTATGAGTCTGTGACAGTGTGGAATTTATTTCTGTAATGGTACTGGGCAAAAATATGCTTTGGCTACTGTGTAAGTTCCATAAGCGAGAAGAGAATTGCTCACTAGCTGCTACAGGTAATACTGTGTTTGGTTTTTGGACTGAGCCCTTCATACGTAGTCCTAAACTATTGTAAGTACTCATAGACAGCTACCCTTTTGAAATGTCCCCAAGTCATCAGGTCCAAATAAAGGATGTAAATTTATTTAAGAAATAATTGTTTGTGTTGTACTAAGTTCAGAACTCTTAAGTTTGTGCTGTCTTTGCTTTTCAGGAACAGGGAATCTGCAACCCCTCCAGATACTCATGAGCTAAACTTCCCAGCAGGCTCAGTCAGCATGGCATTGAGGAATGCTGGGAACTCTGGCTCAGAAAGTATGGCCATAGATTTATCTCCCCTCCTCTCCCCTCCCCTCCCCTCCCTATTGAATTTTTCACTGAAGTGGGAATTGAGTGTAGCATGGACTGCTTCAGAATGCATATCCAGGAGAATTCTAAGCTGGGTCCTGTTTCTAGATCTCTAACCTTCATGAAAGAGAGGGCCTTTTATGTAGAAGGAGCATTCATCCTACTCTTCACCTCCACAAATTGCATTTCCTGTATTCTTTTTCGCAGGGTTCTCTGAACTATCAACAAAGTCAGTAGCTTTCTTTCTGGGAGGTTGGAATTCCAAATATTACTGGTAACTCGGCCATCACTCATTTTATGTTGCTGTTCAACTTGCACTGTATTCCCGAGGACACTCAGACTGAGAGTTGCTGACAAAGCGGAGCAACTTTGCAAATATTTTGAATTGCTTATAAGGTCTGCTGCTCCTGAGCTACCTGCTTCTGTAAGCTTGGGTTAAGCATGTTTCTAGAATTACATCGGGGGCAAGTTTCCCAGTGTCTAGCAAGAAGGAAAGACAGGCCTGAATCTTTCTGTTCCAGGAGGCAGATGTTTTTTAACAGCAGGGGAAAAAAGCACCCAGAATACAGGAATCTAAGTAACTAAGAAGGCCAAAACAGCAGAATGTAATCCATGGACTACTTGTAGACTTTTTTTTTTTAAAGGAAATTCCTACCATAGTGTTCTGCTTCAAGTGAACTATAAATTGTGGTAAGCGTTGATCATTTTTCCAGTCCTGCATGCACTGAAATGTAATCCAAGGAGTAAGTAGAGTTGAATCTTTTTTGGGCATTAGAACATTGAGGTCTACAGTCAGGTCCAGAAATATTGGGACATCGACACAATTCTAACATCTTTGGCTCTATACACCACCACAATGGATTTGGAATGAAACCATGGAACAGCTGAGAAGCCAATTGTCCCATTACTTTTGGTCCCTTAACAAGTGGGAGGCACATATGCAAACTGTTGTAATTCCTACACCGTTCACCTGAGTTGGATGTACATACCCTCAAATTAAAGCTGACAGTCTGCAGTTAATGCACATTGTGTTTGTTTCATTCCAAATCCATTGTGGTGGTGTATAGAGCCAAAGATGTTAGAATTGTGTCGATATCCCAATATTTCTGGACCTGACTGTAGACCTCAATGTTCTAATGCCCAAAAAAGATTCAACTCTACTTACTCCTTGGATTACATTTCAGTGCATGCAGGACTGGAAAAATGATCAACGCTTCATGGAACAGCTGAGAAGCCAATTGTCCCATTACTTTTGGTCCCTTAACAAGTGGGAGGCACATATGCAAACTGTTGTAATTCCTACACCGTTCACCTGAGTTGGATGTACATACCCTCAAATTAAAGCTGACAGTCTGCAGTTAATGCACATTGTGTTTGTTTCATTCCAAATCCATTGTGGTGGTGTATAGAGCCAAAGATGTTAGAATTGTGTCGATATCCCAATATTTCTGGACCTGACTGTAGACCTCAATGTTCTAATGCCCAAAAAAGATTCAACTCTACTTACTCCTTGGATTACATTTCAGTGCATGCAGGACTGGAAAAATGATCAACGCTTCATGGAACAGCTGAGAAGCCAATTGTCCCATTACTTTTGGTCCCTTAACAAGTGGGAGGCACATATGCAAACTGTTGTAATTCCTACACCGTTCACCTGAGTTGGATGTACATACCCTCAAATTAAAGCTGACAGTCTGCAGTTAATGCACATTGTGTTTGTTTCATTCCAAATCCATTGTGGTGGTGTATAGAGCCAAAGATGTTAGAATTGTGTCGATGTAGTTAATGCACATTGTGTTTGTTTCATTCCAAATCCATTGTGGTGGTGTATAGAGCCAAAGATGTTAGAATTGTGTCGATGTCCCAATATTTCTGGACCTGACTGTATGTTGGTAAGCATCATCTTTGTTTTTTTCTTTTTTAAAAAAATTCTATACACTTAAGTAATTGTCTCCTCATTACAGCTGAATGAAACTAAGCGGTGCTGCTTATGATGAGATACGCTATGAAGCACAGTCATTTTCAGATTGGTGGCCACCTCTGCCCTTTGAGACATGCATTGAGACACATTCCAAAAAGTCTAGGGGTGGGGGGCTTCTAGGACTAGAAACAGAGCCAGGACAAAAACACTGCTATTTGGCAGTGGTATTGCTAGGAAGCTTGGGGACCACACCTCAAGTTGCTTCATTTCTAATACAGACATCACTGAACAGTAAGGACTTCTTGTACACTGGTTCATTCAAGTCATTTCTTGAACATTTGATCAAATGAAGATCTGGAAACGATTTTGGCCCTGGGGAAGAACACTCTGCATAGGGTGTTAATCTCCCTCAAACTGAACTAGTCTCCACTATTTACAGAGGTCCATGTTGGTCTTCATAACAATATGAAATTGATTTCCCACACCTCCTTTCGAGGATACCTTCTTTCCACTTTCTGCATTCCCAAGATGTGTTTGTGGTTTCCCATCTAAGAACCAACCAGGTCTGACCCTGTCCTGTTTTTTCAAAATCAACCAAGGTTGACTACATACCATTAGAGAACCAGATGTTCTCTTTAGAAACATGTTACTTTGCAATATTGAACACTATACCATTTACATCAATGGTAAGATACTTCAATTTTGACTTACCTAAGCTTTAATTTACTCTGAAAAAACATTTGGCCCTTATATGTAGGTGCAAGACTCAAATCTCATTTATACTGGATGGGAGGCCACCAGGAAGCCCCAGATCTACAGGCTAAACTGGGAAATATGAAAACATCCTGGAAGAAGGCAATCACAAACTACTATTGAAGTTACATCGATATATCCATGAAGTCTGGTAGTTGAACTCAAAGGAGACTCTTCCCAATTAATAAAATTCTCACTTTGCTTTACAGTAAAACATTGATTTAATGGACCCTATTTAGTTTCAGAAAAACATCTGATGCAATGGATAAAATGTCCATTTGGACACCACTCTGAAATAACAGACAGGTTCAGTGCATCTGAAATAGTCCTGATGAGGCAGTTAAACTCTTAATACTATGATACAGTATCTGGGAGTGATTCACATCACTTGTATGACATCGTTATACCTAAATAAAATAAATAAATAAATTGAAGCAAATGTTCTTTCAGATATAGCAGACATTATACACTGTCCCTCCATTTAGTCTGTTCTGTTAAATTAATGTTGTGAATTTTTGTACTAGAGAAATACTCGTGGGAGTTGCAAACTCTGAGTCTAGTTCATTTAATGGAGAACTTAATTGTGCTGGTACTTGTAGCGATTCTGAGTGAGCACCTATGTGTTGCAATTATCAAAGCAGGTTAGGCCACTCCCTATTTTTATGAGGAAATCATTTTCCATCAGGAAAGATTTAAAAATATATTCCTTTCCTTTCCCGGAGAGCATTTATTTATGCAAATATGTATGACAACCAGTGCCAGGGTGGTTATTCATTAATCAAAACTACTAAAAAGTAGGAACAAACCTTACAAAGTGGGGCAGAACTGCAACTAGAAATCTTGCTCTTTATTTCAGTTTCTAGAAAAGGACAGGCTTTTCTTAACATTTGAAAGTTGGGAACTATGGCTTTTGGGGGGGGATGGAAAAAAATTGCCCCCTCTTGCAGACACCCTGAGATAAAGCTTCATTGGAAGTTTCAGCTACCAGACCTAAAGAATTCATACATTTCGCCCAAGCTTTCCATACAAGCAAATGTATATCTGATATGAACAAATGATGGGAACTCAACAATACCACATATACTCCTTCCTGGTGCATCCAATGCAAATCTATTTAATTTGTAGGTCAGTTGCAAACATCCCACCAAAAGAGCCCCAATAACTGACAGCCTATAGTTTTAAACCTTCCACTTTTTCACACATGCAAGTCAACTACACACAGCACGTAAGTAGAATTCTAGACGTTCCACGGCCTGTCTCTCAAAGGACATTCACCTTTGTCTTCCTCTCTTTTAAGGAAACACAGATTTGATCATACGGTAGGTAATGTGCTGTGCAGGCCTATTTGGGTCGTACTTCTCTTCCAAATGACTTTTGCTGGGCATTTCTTTGATGTCTTCATGAATTGGCATCTTTTGGCCCACGACACACATTAATTTCACATCCAAAGGACCCAGCTCCTTATATTCCTTGATTCAGGGCAAAAGAGGATGGTGTTATTTAGTAGTAAATATGTTTGAAAAGCTCCAATGTCCCCTGTACCCACTCCTTATACTTGCATATAAATGTAATAAATAAAAAATAAATAAATACATGCGTATGCCCGATGCATGTAGATAATATGGATAATAAAGTATTTTATTAAAAAGGCATTAGCAACTTACACCACGGTTAGAAGGCTGAATAAGGACTGGGGAAACCTGATGCAAGTAACTAGACGCCCAGGAAGGGTGCAGGATGAAGCTGAGTCAGGCGCGGTCAATCTAAGTTGCCTTAAACCATTCTTGTGAAGTTAAAAGAGGAGGTAGAAAACAGAAGCTCCTTGTAGGAGGGGGTAATTTGTTGTTGTTGTTATTTGTTTTAATCTCCACAGTATGTGAAAAAATAGTTGTAGGCTTTCACAGCAGCAGAAGACATTCTACCCTGGCCAGGAAGGCGGGTGCCCCTTGCTAACATCCTAGGCATGCTGGCTGGGGAATTCTGGGAGCTGAAGTCTACCCATCTTAAAGTTACCAAGTTCAAAAAACACTCACCTAATGCCAAATCCTCCTGTATTCCAAGGTGACACAAGAAGTCACCCCTTTCCAACTTGATTGTCCTTTCAGATCTGGTTGCTTCAGTTCCCAGCATTCCCCATTTAGCCATTGCTAAAATTCCTAGCAGTTGAAGTCCACGTCTCTGTAGAGGACCCAGCTTGGTAAAATGCTAGGTGGTTGAAAAGAAACTTCCAATCACATGCCAGCCAGCCACCCCAGCACTGAAAGATGACTGGCTGAAGGAAGACCAAGGAAGAGAGCCACAGATGTTTGAGAAGTGAAAATGAGGAAGCCAAAACAGCTTCTGACTGTTGAATCTGCTATTGTATTATTGCTCAAGAGGGGTTTCCCTTTAGACTTGCATAGTCTACTGGGCCACTAACTAGCCAATCCCATTTTATCCTAGCACTTCATGCCCAGGTGGTTAGGCTCCGATTCCGCATTTCGTGAGAACCCAGAAACAGGGATAAGTGGAATAAATTATGGGACGTGTCATGTAAACACATCCCAAAGTATCTTCAGATACCCTAGATGGTAGAGGTTGAAGTATTCAGTGGTGAGCGCCCCTGTGAGGAGGAATCGAACCTGAGCAAGGATCACTAAAGCAGGTTTTAAAACTAGAACTGAAAAGAGACTGATTTATAGGAAATGCATTACAGAGACAGGCAAAGCCTAGCACCAACCAGCTACATCCTACAAGAAGGATGAGAGCACGTCCTTTGTTTGTCTGTCTACCTGGGAGGAAAGGTGGAAGGAGGTGACCTCAGATTAGCAATCTCTTGGACAAAGACCAGGCAGAGGGATAGATAAAGAGAGGATACAGAGTGAACCTTTAATTCTCTATCTACCCTCTATGGCCTCTGTATGGCCAGTAGGTCATGAGATGCTGAAGAGTCAGTGCTGCTGGATTTGCACCTCCAAAAATGTATGTGCTGATGTCCTTTATAAATCCAGTGTCCTCCAGCAGTGATAGACTTAACTTTGCTAATTCTCAACCCATCTAGTTCTCTGCCCGCCCCCCTAAACGTAGAGGAGGAAGATAAACCTTTACCTTGAAATCATTTGTATCTTCATACAGCAGCGGGGGCAGAAATTGATTCATTGACATTCCCCGCAAATAAACCACTTCAAAGTCATCTGCCGATTTATTTTCTGCACCGTCCAGGCCCCTTTTCTCATCATGTGATGGTTGCTCCATCGAAATGACCGTCTCCGTTGCTGATATTACCCTCTCCTCTGATATAAAATACATGATTTCATTTTCTCTATATATTTATTCTTTACACTCTATTCTCTAGATGGAATCTTATAATGCTAGACAGATCCTTCTGTTAAATTCTTTGAGACTGGCAAGGTGAAAGAGCTGAAGAATGCAGACCAACCAGCTGGCCCCATTTGGAACTGATAAATGGAAACAAACTAAAAAAATAAAAAATCTATCGTGACTGTTTGGCTGAGACTAATAAACAAGGTTTTGTTTCCCCCAAGAAAGGAGTTGAAAACACTGAACAAGAAGGAAATGTACGAGGCCAGAACAAAGGGTGAGAACTAACACTTATGGTGAGAACCATACAGACACCATGACATCAAGGTATAAAAGGAGGACACGGGGTGTTGAAAGCTGAGATTCCTCTCTGTTTCATCAGAACAAAGACTCTTGGGAATCCCTCTCATTTCCCTGTCCAGTAGATAAGATTCTTTTCATTCTTGGCAGGTACAAAGTATGCCTGTGTGTGTGTGTGTTATTTTAGGGTATTGTATGCTTTAATCAAGTAGTTAAGAAACGACTGATCCATACTCTTGGATTGCTCTCAGGCAGTGTTTCTCAACCTTGGCAACTTTAAGACATGTGGACTTCAACTCCCAGAATTCTGGGAATTCTGGGAGTTGAAGTTCACACATTGTAAAGTTGGTAAGATTGGGAAACCCCGCTGTAAGGGGTTTCCACTGTGGCCTGCTTGCCAGTGCATACAAAACCCTAAAGGTCTGGCAACACAGCTGTTCTAAACAACAACAGTTTATCACAATCCTGTGCCTTTCCTGCAACAGCAGGGAATACTGATGGGTAATAACTGGCACCCAGAACTTCACCCATTTTGAAATTCCCTTTTGGACAACTCAAGTTGATACAGGTAGTCCTCGAGTTACAACAGTCATTGGGACCGGAATTTCCATTGCTAAGAGATGCACCTGTAAAGCATGACATGATGTGACCACATCGCTTAGTGATGGCAATCCTTGCAGTCCCTGTTGCCGTCATTAAGCGAGGATCATGGGTTCTTCAGTGACTTGCAACTTCCTGCCGACCAGTCAAAATCAGTGGGAAAGCCGGCAGGAAATTGCAAGTTCCAGGTGGTTTGCAAGCAGGCCAACCGGCAGGCAGGTAACTAGCTGCTGCCAGGTGGGAGAGGGAGCAAGGAGGTGCGCGGGTGACCAGGGAGGCGCAGCATGAATGTGGTGGGGCTTGAGGTGGCTGCTGCCAAGTGGGGGAAGGTGTGCAAGTGGTGGGGGAGGTGTGGCGTGGGCACAGCGAAGCTTAGGGAGGGTGTGTGGGGAGGCATGGTACGAGTGTGTGAAGCTCAGAGAGAATGCACGAGGGTGCGCAGGTGGTGGGGAGGCGCAGCGCGAGAGCAGAGAGGCCGGGGGAGGGTGCAACTTGCGACCTCCTGTTGGCTTCACCATTGACTTTGCTCATGGGAAGCTGGCAGGGAAGGAAGCAAATTGTGATCACGTGACCACAGGACACTGCAACTGTTGTAAGTGCAAGCTGAATGCCAAGCATCCAGATCATGATCACATGACAATGAGGGTGCTGGGAAGGCCACACTTTGAGGACCGGTGGTAACCACCACTCGTTCAGTGCCATCGTAACTTTGAGTGATCGCTGAATGAGTGGTTGTTAACTGAGGACTCCCTGTAGTTAATTTCCCTAATACAGCAAAAACACATACTCTACTCCTAAGTATGGTTGAGGTCAGATCTGCGTGTGATTGATTTTACCTTTCATCACAGAAAACAGGTCTCTGCATATGTGTAATGGGCGGGGGGGGGGAAGGAGATGATGCCTAGGGAATGGTCAGTTAAAAGAGAAAGGAGTCTGCAACAGACTAATGGCCAGAGAAAGAAATTTAGAAAGGACCCACCCCAACTATTCAGGCGGTAAATAGGAAGGGCGGGAGATTTGTGCTTTCAGACTTGCAAGATTCTGTTAATGTAGCCTTACAGTAAAGCAGAATTAGCTCATCTAATCGTGTTTCCTGTCTGGTTTACCTGAGAGGGCTGACAATATGTCACAATTCCCAGAAAAGTCTTACCCTTCAGTTTGGAAGCCGGGGCAGGGGGTCTGTTTGCAATTTTAGAAATGAGGATCGGCTTTTGGATTCTGTAAACATTCCTTATCCTTTCCCACGATGAGCAGGAAAAGATGCATGGTAGGGAACACCACTTATACTTAGTCATGGGCACAAGTGGCCAAAAAAAAAAATCATTTTTGCTTGCCCGAAAAAGTAAGAGTGTATGGAACAATATGCATCTTCCTAATTCAGGGATCCCCAAACTGTTCAGCACATCATGAAGTTCCAGATCGTTCACTGACCCCCAAACATTTATTATACGAAAATAATTTAATAAATACAACTTTAACTAATAGTACTATGAATAATAATAACAGCCACAACAATAACGGATAGTCCCATCAATCCTTGGGGGTCAATACTGACCACTTTGGAGGGCTTTGCCCGAATTTCAGGCTAAGAATTGGAATTCAGTAACTATCTAGAAACTGTTGAATTCTAACAGCCTTTTCCTCCAACCAACACAGTTCATGGCAGGATGGCGGTTGTGCTCCCCAAATTCCCCACTACTACTTCAAGTGCCTTTCTTTCATACTTAATTCAGAGCTACAAGACCTAGGCAGATCAATCTGATTCAGGCAAAAAAGAAAGGAAGAGGTCGCTACCTTCCTCTTGGTCCATGCTTTCTCCTGGAATCTGCAAGCCAGCTCCTTGGGTAAGAAACAGCTTCCTAGAAAGTGCAAAGAATAGTAAAAGTAGCATCAAAATGGGCAGCTGTAACCCACCAGAAAAGAATGGTGTGAGCCAGTTGTGGTTAAGGCATCAGGCTAGAAACCAGGAGACCATGAGTTCTAGTCCTGCTTTCGAGACAAAGCCAGCTGGGTGACCTTGGGCCAGTCACTCTCTCTCAGCCCTAGGAAGCAGGCAAT